GCAGAATGTGTTTGCAGCTCACTGGCACGCTGAGTCATTCATTAGCCTGTGGTCATTTGGCTGTCAGAGAGAACATGCAAGTGAACATTAGTACTAAGGAGCCTCTCGGGGTGCAGAAGGGTCGTTTTTTACTTCTTTCTTTCCCCTTGCAGGGAGGACAGAGCAGGGAAGGAGACCCGACATACAGAACCTTACCCTCTCTTGTTTGAAATCTGCAAAAGCACCATCCGCGTATTTCTGCTTGCTCAGAAGCTGTTTCCTCCTCTCCTGACGTTTGGCACGCTTCTGGAATTCCTCGTTGTGACTACTCAAGTGTGAGGTCAGCTCTGCTGTGCTATGCAATTTAGTATCACAGTGCTTGCACTGGTAGACAGCATTATGAGAGCGGGTGCCACTTCCCAGTATGGTAAAGTCTCTCTTCAAATCCTTGCTGTGGTGGTCAGTGTAATGCATGCACAGCAGCTCTGCTGTGCTGAAGGAGAGCTTGAAACATTTTATGCACCTGAAAGGAAGCCACTCAATTTCCTGAGCTTCGCTCTCCACCTCAGGCTTTTCAAAGTCATTCCTCTCCTCAGCTGGAGTTGGCTTTTCATGTTCATCAGCATATACAGCAGTGAAGTAACCCCCTAGCTTGCTCGCGTGCTGCTTCTTAGGGAAAACACCGGGGTGACGCTTCATGTAGTGGGACACAATACCCTTTTTGCTGAAGGACTGGAAGGAACAAAGTGAGCATTTCTTCTTCTCCACAGCTCTCCTCAGCTCCTCGCTTAACTGAGGAGTGTCATCTTTGGGAGGAGATGGAATGATCACTTTATTGGGTTTGTCGCTTACCGTCCTGGAGGCTGCTAAGCAGTGAGTGTAGTAAGCATCAATGTCATGTCTTTTCTGGTAGTGTGCCGCAAGCCCCTTGCGGATAGGGTTGGTGTAGGAACACAGAGCACACTTGAAGAGGTTGTTCTTGCCTTCCGGCTGTGCTCGGACATTGTTATGTTTGATGCGGTAGTGCCTGGCTATCCCCTTCCGGGTGGAACAGAAGTATTTGCAGAGCTGACATCGGAAAACTGTGTGAGACACTAAATGAGAACTGGAGAAATGAGGTGCTGCGACAGAGATTTCTCCGATATCCTCAGCAGCAATTTCTGGGGAGGCCTTGATTTCAGTCACTATGTCTGGCTCCACTGAGGCAGACACCTTTGGTGGTGACTGCGCAAAAACATCAAATTCAGGCTGATTGTGGTATTTCTCATAGTGAATTTTGAGCTTCTCCAGCGTACCATGGGTATAAGGGCACAGTTTGCACCGATAAGCACCATAGCCTTGCTTGAAAATCCTGCTCGTCTCTTCCACATCGTTCTGAGTGATGTCATTTGACTGTTCCACGTCATGCACGAAGTCTTCAGCAGTGACCTTTATTGATGGGTGCCGCTTCTGGTAGTGTGTGAGGACACCGTGAATGCGTGTATTAATGTATGGGCAATGTCTGCACTTATATACAGCTCCTGGGTTAATGTCTATATCCTGAGCAAAGTCTGCAGCTTTTACTTTCATGCCAGGATGTTTTTTCCCATAGTGTGTCAGGAGACCATGCAAATTGTTGTACTCAGATTGACAAACCGTACACTGATATGGAGTGGAGGAAATGGCAGGGTTTGCAGATGCCAGCTGGACAGTTTTTTCCTGGGAAAGACTGGGGTCCTCTGCACACTCTGCATCCTGATCCATCTGTGACGTTGTAATCTGGTCTTCAGAACTGATCCTGGCCCCAGCTTCATCGGGCTGCGTGCCAGACTTCTCAGCAGCATCTTTCTCCTTAATGATATCTAACAACACAGATTCATCCCCATTCATGGCCCAAGGGTGAAAAGCCTGGTAATGATTAGTAATATCCCAAATGGAAGATGCTTCAAAAATGCAATCTCTGCATTTATAGGTCTTTGTCTCTGTTGGCATCACTAGAGCAGGAGGGGAAGGATCAGGACCTGCCCAGAGTTTAGTGGCCATGTATGTATAGTCAACATAATGCTCAGGATGTCTCCTTTGGTAATGCACAAGCAAACCGCTTGGCTCCATGTGTGAATAAATGCACCACTCACAGTGATAACCAGCTTCTATCAAGCCATCCAAAAATGCCCATCTCAGAATGGATGTTACTGTGGCCTTTAGAGTCGGGTGGTCTTTCTTGATATGCTTCCTCAATGCATAGAAGTAAGGTGAGGTGTAGCTACACTGCCTGCATTTGAGGGCTCTCAGCTTTGACTTGTCCCGCTCGGTGCTGGAGGTGTGAGCCGGCATGCTGCCAGATGATTTCTTCTGGCTGCGATCGCAAAGGCTTCTAATGGTAGCTGTATGCTGCCTAATCACATCTGCATTAGCTTTGAAGTCACGATGCTTCTTTTGGTAATGAATGAGCACACCTTTCACGGTTCGGTTTCCATAATCACAGTGTTGGCAGAAGAACATTTCATTCTCTGGAGGATTCGCGGAGCTCTCGGAACTGCCCCGGCTCAACTGCATTGACACTGGTGGCCTTTGAATACCAGGTGGCAACTCACCAGCCCTCATCATTGCTGCTGTGGGGGGTGCCTGCCTAATGTATTTGGCAGTGACCTTTATTTCTGGATGTCTTTTCTGGTAGTGGACAAGCACTCCCACAACTGAGCGGTTGCTGTACGAACAGTGTTTGCAATAGTAGAGTTCAGTAGCAAGCTCTGGGGGAGGTGGAGGTGGAGGTTGAGAAGCCAAGTTAGACAGTTTTGGGGAGACAGGCGTCCCCATCTCAAAAGACATCTGAGCCAGGGCAGAGCCCCTGTCAACAGAAACTACACGCATGGTCTTCTGAATTCTGAAATAAGATGCCTTTTCTTCAGGGTGCTTTTTCTGGTAATGCACTAGAACTGAATGCATGTTGGGGCTTGCAAATGAACACACATCACAGTCATAAACAACCACAGTATTGACTGAAGGCTCCTTCTGATTTTCACATTCAGGACTAAAACTCTTGGCGGCACTTTTGGTAAAACCAGCTGGCATACCAGCCCCACGAGCCACGGGGGTGGAGGTTGCCATAGTTTTTGGTGCAGAATTCAAGATCTCTCTCAGTGTCTGAGACTCTGTGGTCAGCCCTTCTTGCTGCTCAACAACATAGCTTGAAAATATCATTGCATTGTTAATTTTCACTGTAGGATGCATTCTTTGGTAATGTGGCATCAGGCTTCTAACATTCGGGCTTGTATAAGAGCAGAAGCGACAGCGGTAGATCAGATCAGAGTGATCAAAGTTCAGTACATTCATAGCTTCAGGGTGATGCTCTCCATAATGCTGCTGCAGGTCTTCAAAGTTTGTGTAGTCAATATAGCACTCAAGACATCGGTATACCGCACTGTGATCATTGGGATCCAAGATATATCTAAAGCTGAATTTAATATAGGGGTGCATCCGCTGGTAGTGAGTGCTAACACTCCGGGCAGATTTGTTGCTGAAATCACAGTGTTTACAATAATAAAGCCTGCCAGAGTCATTAAACTCTGCATTCTCATTGTTCTGATCGGCACCATACATGTTTGACTGGCTCCCCAGAACAGAGGCGTTAGGACTCTGATGGTCTTTCATGCTGACAGAAGAATAATAATCTTCCTCATCTTCAGATAAAGTGAGCTCAATTTCTGCTCCATTGGTGGAATTATAATCATGCTGCATGCTTCTGAAGTTTGTCTCCTTCTGGGAATCATTAGCCTCTCTCCCCCACATTTGCTGGGGTGCGTAAGAACTCGAAACCTCTATCATTGGTTCTGTTTGCTCTTCTTCTCTGTCCAGCTCCACTTCTATCTCCACCTCGTTGTCTTCCTCCTCTTCCTCATCATCCTCTACATTAATCACAGCATCTTCTTGCTGTTTGTTTTGGCTGATTTTGCTCTGCAGATTGCTTGCTATTTCATCAATTCTCGTTCTCTTTTTCACAGGTGAGAGATCCAAAGGAAAGTCATTTGACACCTTGCGGGGGGCCTTTGCAACAAAGTTATTTTTAGATGAGAGACCAAGAATTGAGGTCTGGCTTTTCTTCACTGTGCTGGCAGAGGTGTGCACATCTGCCTCACTTTCTTGTGGTGTGTTGGATGGCGGTCCATCATACTTTGGCAAGTTGTCACAGAACGAGTGCTTGTGCTGCTGATGAACTCTGAGGCCTTTCAGAGTCGTGGTAGAATAGTTGCACATTGTGCACTTGTAGGGATGCTGTGAATGGGGTTGGGGTGACTGCTGCTGCTGCTGCTGCTGCGGCGGCATCGGTTCCATCATCCCAGCTGACTTCCTGCCATTTATATTTCCAGTCTCATAAGAAATTGTGCTCTCATTCAAAGAGGCGGCAATGCTTTCGCTTTGAGAGTTCACGGTGTCCCAGTCTGGTGTTGCACCTGTATGACACTGCTTATGGGCTCCAAGCTTTAATGAACTCTTGCAGGTGAAAGGGCATTCATCACACTTGTATACAGCTGTCTTCCCAGAGAGGTGGATGTTCTCAATGTGACGGGAGATGCTTCGGCGATGCATTGTCAGGAAAGGGCAAAAAGGACACTGGAATCTGTTCATATACCTTCTAAAGGGAATCCCCTTTGTCTCCAAAAGTTTGTTGCCATCAGAACCCATCAGCTGCTCTGCAGACATTCCTGAGGTCTGGTGATCCATGGAGTTCAAGCCATTCTCACTGTCCATTTCATTTAGCTCTTCATCTGAGCTGGAGTCATTTAGCATACTGTTTGTTTCCAAGTCAGCAGAAGAATTCGTCATATCAGCAATCCCATAGCGGGATCTGTCGGACAAATTAACCATGCCCGAGTTGTGAGGTGACTTAGGCTTCATTTGAGGATAAGACACAGAAGAAAACTTGGAGGATGTAGAGGAGTTTGGCCTCATAAGGGAATTGCCCACAGAGCTTCTGAAGTTTGAGACATTAGCGTTCGGCATCTCACGTCCTGTCGTATTCATGGAGATATAATTAGAGTTTGGGGAGGCATTCTGGGCGCTCTTACTCTGCACATCAGGTGCACTAGTTCCTTCTTGTTGCTGCCTCAGGCTTGAAAGTATTTTTACCATGCTGCGGTGCTTCTTCATCATGTGGTCACACCAGCGCTCCCTCCGAGGCGTCTGGTAGCTGCACCATTCACAGCAAAAGTTGCCCCTGGACTTTGTCAGGGGCTTGACCATCGATTCCAAAATGCTCCTCTCAACCACCTCCGCAGGCAGTTCCTTGCAGGGCTCTTGCACAGGTACAGAGGCAGACGTCGATTCAGATATAGCAGCAGCAGCAGCAGCAGGGGGAGTTGAACTCTCTTTCAGGTTGTTCTTGTGATACATTTTCTGGTGCTTAATAATCCTTGCACGCCTGGGTGATTTGTAGGTGCAGAACTGGCAAGAGAAAACTTTGCCAAACCCCTCATGCATCATGATGTTGTAATTTAGGGAACCAGCGGCTGGTGGCCCCACTGAGCTCCCCCCAGCCTGTGATCCGTGAACTTTGCGTGTGTGCTCTATGAGGAGGTTTTTGGAACGGAAGTAACGCACACAGAACTTGCACTGGAAAAACTTGTTGGTTGGTTTAGGATTTGGAGCCATATGCTGACCATAGAAACTCTGGCTCTGGCTATAGTAACTTCCAGTCCCCATCTGAGTTGCTGCATTTTGCCCTAAAATAAGAGTTAAAGTGAATATGTAAATAAACAAATTCATTTTTTTCCCCACCCACCCCGTATGCATAAGAATACCACCACATCCTGAATGGATAATAATCACACCAGGATTCCCTTACTTTTTTATGAGACCTATCATACAATAATAGCCAGAAAACTGACCCTTATGCATTATATGCATATATACTTGACTAGGGGATAAAACCTAGGATGGATCACTTCCAAAATAATCTTCTCGGGTGGGGGGGAAGCTAGTACACTAATAAAGTCCAAAATTTTGGAGTCGTTCATGGTGATGAAGAACAACCATGAAGATCTGAAAACCAAAAAGTAGTATGAAAAAAACACATCAAAAGCAGTTGGGAAACAAATCCACCCTCCATGTTTGCATTTACAGAAAACATATGATCAGAACCAATATGGCTGAAACTAGACAACATATGCTTTGCTGCCATAGCAATAAAGATGACCGAGTTTTTAAAATCCCATTAAAAGTACAGGCTAAAACGTACTGAAATAAACCACATGTGAAATAGGAGGTTAGAGCTGAGATTTACCTGCTATTTCATCTGCAATTGTAAATTCATCCTTTACAGAGGAAAATTCAACCTCGGTCTGGTTGCTAGCATTCATGGAGCCAGACCTTGGCTGACTAGGGCTTTCTTCAGAGACATCCGTTGGCTGCAGAAAAGCAGTGTGAACATCCTGAATGTGAGCTTTTAGGTCTTCATAGGATGGAGCTCGAAAATCGCAGCCATCACACTGCAGCACCTCCATGGTTCAGGGATGACCTTTTACATTAGAAAATTCTGCAAGAAAAAGAGGGGAAGCAGAGAAGAAATAAAGAGATGGGTTTTACAGCAACGCCATTCTAATTTTGAAAACCAAGCATCATACCAAGCTTATGATGACTCAAGTCATTTCCAGAAATTCCGTAACTACCCCAGCCTAAAACCCAATCTTTGCTACGTATCTTAAGAGGCATCAATTCAGATTCACCAAAAGTCCTATCTAGGTAGCTCACAAGTTGCTGACTCAATACTACAAACACTCAGTCTTCTGATAAATGACTACTGATTCAATGGACTTTGTCCTTTTGGCTTTTCCTTTACACAGGACAGGGCTGTTGTTCAGAAGTCTGTCTCGTTCCAAGACCAGAAAGGGTATGCTAGAGAAATAGGACATTACTTCCAAACAGTCGTGCACTGAAATCTACAGGGAACAGCGGCTTCTGCCTCTGTAGGCCCATTCTAACCTTCCTAGAAGTTGCAAAGTCCTGCCTCTTTCACTACCAGAGGTTAAAAACCTTCATAGAGAAACAGTTGCATTTCTTCTCAACACCTTATCATTACTGACTTTAGTGGAAAACCTAGACATTACTGCAAGATGAGATCTAGCTACATGTATCCAAACTATCCAAGGTAGAATGGTTCACCCTGCCCTACTTGCTCAAAATTGTGTGAGAGCATCTCTGTTCTTCACTGAAATTCTTATGGAGCTTCCTTTTAGTCTCTTTTGGGGGATATATCCTTGGCAGGTTAGGAGTCTGGGGAAACGGGATGTCTGCAGGAAGAGACGGACAGCAATGGGAATAGGAATATTGCATAAGTACAATGGAAACATGAATGACAAAGACTTCCCTCAAAAACATCATGACTTCCCTGGATCATCTGAAAGTCCTGCTTACTTTGAAGTATCAAGTCAAATAAGGTTTGGTAATATCAAGTATGGTGGTTCAGTATGTGACCAAAGAATCATGCATCACAGGGTTGTGAGGGTATTTGTCAGAGGACTCAAAGGTTTTTCTTCTGCCATGAAGGACAGTACACACAAAACAGTAACAAGACAAAAGGTTGAGATCCTCCTACCTTGAACTGTACTTGGGCACAAGAGCAACTTCCTATATTAATAAATGAATTATTTATTTAGGTTTCCACATGCTGCACTGGGCCATTCCGGAGGTCCAAGATGCAAGGGCAGCCCAAAACGTTGAAAAATCCCATGAATTTATTGTAGAGCGTGGAGCTACCTCACCAGCAAGGACAAAACACCAAAACATTAGGTCACAGAAGCAAAAGAGGACACTGCATCAGGATTTTATATGAGAAAAATGCTTCTGATAGCCTGCTAAAACAAACTTCTAGCAAGTCAAATTATGGACAGTCTAAGCACACAGGCACTCCAGTTATTTACCTACATTACTTTGCAGGCTGCAATGTGTCCTTTCTCTCTCCCCCTCCCTCCCACTACCAATAAAGAAAATGAACGCTGCACCAGCTTCTTTTCAGCTAACAAAGTTACAATAATCGAGATACTCAAGCTTTTATGTGCAAGCACCAGACCAAATTGTGTGGAAGAGGTTGCTATCTGCTCTGGATCAAATTACAGCAGTGAGTGAAGCCCCACCCCACGTCTCCTTTAGCACAGTCCATTAGACCTGAAAACAAATTTTTCCATGGAGCAGACGACTCCTGCATTTAGAGCACTTCACAGAAAAGCAGATCATCCAGTTTTCACTACCCATCCCCCAAGCTTAGTCCTTTCATCTCAGCCAAACAAAACACAGCTCTGCTGAATGTGTTTATCACACTTTCAAGAGATATGAGCCCCTGCGTCACTGAAGCTTTAAGACTCACTAAGCTGCCCTAGTCCTCTGAGCTTTGGGAGCAGCCATTTTAGCTCAGACAACTCCTGCACTCAGAGGCTCATAGCTTCTCGCCTGTGCACAACATGGCCTCACTTATCTCAGCTTCATCTCAAGCACACCAAGGTTTTCCTTTTTCCTCCCCCCTTTTTCCCTCCTCCTTCTCCTCCTCCTTGGGTGATGCTTGAAAAATCAGCCTTCCCAGAGCACAGCTTCCCTTCTCCTGTGTGGCTTGCCCCCAAAACGACGTAGCTTCTGTCCCAGGCAGCGCCTTCCCTCCCCTTTAGCAGGTCGCCCGCAAGCATCTCCCAGGGTTGGTTCCCTTGTCCCATGGATGACACATGCCACGCTTCATGCCAGCATTACAGCATCAAGACTCTGGTCCAAGCTGTCCTACAGGCAGAGGCAATGCACAGCCAAGCCTCCCAGGAGGAGGAGGAGGAAGAGGAGGAGGAGGAGGCGGCGGCAGCGGGGGAGGCAGGGG